TGAGTCTTGTTGGAAAGGCACTTGATCACTGTCGTTTCTAACTGGAACTCTAGCAACGCCGCGGGACGATCATTATTCAGAAATGAAATTCGTATGTGCTTATGTGGAGTGAATTCCTGTTGTCCAACGTATTAGGACACGAGTGAGTTAACTTTGGCACATTTATGAATGTGTAAATCTCTTATTGCCCTTATTAGGATGCCTAGACGACGAAGTGACAATTTCCTTCCTTCCATACGGGAAAAGTTGCGGAACCAGTTTATGGAGTTACGCCAAGGTACTACGGGTATGTTTGGTTTGAGTTTGGGAGATGAGTTTTAGAGATAAAAAGTATGAAAAGTTATTTGGTTTGATTTTTTTCAAAAGATGTTTTCGAAAATTATTTTGATAGAGAGTTTTGGAAAAAATGATTAATTTGATGTATATGAGAGAAAGATTTGTTTGGAAAACTTGTAAACTAAACAAGTTTTGGAAAAAAAATTTAGAAAAATTTGTTTGGTTTAATTATTTTTAAAAACTTATTTGTAAAGAATTTTTTCCAAAAATTTTTTAGAAACACAAACCAAACAAGGCCTTGTCGAGAGTAGAACTTTCTTGATAGAGAAAAGCAGACGGTGGAAGATCAGGGATGTGTGTCTATATAAGGGCAGTTTGGGAAGTGGGATTTTAACTTAAGGGTTGTTTGAGAGTGTCTTAAAAAAGTATATTTTTTGTCTTTTTATGAAAAGATGTACAAAAAAGTAGAGCGGTGATGTGATAGAAAAAAAATAAAAAAGATGGATTATATAATCTATGCCAAACCAGTCCTAAATAAGTATATTTTTTGATTTTTTATAAAATATGAATTCGATAATTTAGGCTAAAATTTATAAAAGATAAAATAAGTTAAAATAGTTAATAAGACAAAATATTATATTAAATCCACAACTATTCCACTTTTTTTCTTACAAACATCACATTCAACTATAAAAAAAAAAATTAATTATCTTCCTAAATACAAAAATTTTAATCTACTAAAATAGATAAAAACTAAAATAATTTATTAAAATAATAATTTTCTAAACCCCCACAATATATGTTTTATATAATAAGTAATTGAACGTGGGATCTTGAGGAATCTTGATGAGATTTGTTAGAGTATTATATGGATTATGTTTTGTCTCTGTTATGATTTTCTAAAGAAACTCATCTTTCAATGCATTGGAATTGCTGTTCTCTCTCTCTCTTCTTTTGGTTTTCTTTTGGTTCCCAAGTCCAACCTTCCCACATGAGAAAAAAAAAAAAAAAAATTGTGAAAACGGTTTTTCTAAATCCATTTTATAAAACAACTTTTCTAAAATCATTTTTGTATTAAAAATATTTTTGGTCAAAAAATATTTATGTTAAAAATATAAATTAAAAAAAAATAATGTATAAACGATTTTACCAAAACCATTTTTAATTAATTCAAAATTAATTAAAACCTATTTTTTCAAAATCGGTTTTCTGTATTTAAATTTTATTATATATTTTAATTGGGAAACACGGCTTTTCAAAAGTCGTTTTCTGAAAAATAATTTCACTAAAACCGTTTTACCTTACAATAAAAATAAAGATAAAAACCAAAAATTTTGAAAATGTCGTAGTCTGGAAAATCAGCCGAGAATACTGTGCTTTAAACTTGTTGTGCCTGTCACATGTAGGGTTGAGAAAACAATCACCCTGTTTGTTTTCACTTTTTAAAAAATACTTTTCAGAAAATTTTATTTTTTTATTTTTTATGTTTTTTTATTTTTATTGAATTTTTTTAAAATTTTAAATAATTTTTTTACTTTTTAGGCACACCTAACATAAATATACCTACAAAATAC